GCTGCTGCTGCTGCTGCTGCAGCTTCTGCTGCTGCTCCTCATCATCCTTCGTATAGTATGACGGCAGCAGCAGCGGGCGGCCAAACATGTGCAGCAGCAACTCCCACTGTACCATAGAATCTGCAGCAGCAACAGCAGCAGCAGCAGCAACAGCAGCAGCAGCAGCAGCAGCAGCAGCATGAGGGAACAGCAGCAGCAATATGCCCTACTAGTACATAATTAGAAGTGCATGCGCATCAGTAGTAAATCAGCAACAACAGCAGCAGCAGCAGCAACAGCAACAGCAGCAGCAACAGCAAATGATAAAGCGGCAACAACAACAACAAGAACAGCAAACGATTGAGCAGCAGCAACAGCAACAGCAGCAGCAGACACAGCAGCAGCAGCAGCAGCAGCAGCAGCAGCAGATCTTCATACCTGCTGTAAAGGCTGGATGTTTGAACAAATGCTGCAGCAGCAGCAGCGCATCAGCAGCAGCAGGACTTATTTCTTCTGCTGCTGCAGCAGATTCATTACTTGCTTCTTCTTCTGTTGCTCCTGCTGTATCTGCTGCTGCTGCTGCTGCTGCTGCTGCTCTTGCTGCAGCAGGTGCTATAATAGCAGAAGCAGCAAAACTACCAATCTGTGCAGCAACGCAGCAGCCCATCCCTAGCAGCCGCCACAAGGCGCTGCTGAATAGGCCCTGCTGCTGCTGCTTCTGCTGCTGCTGCTGCTGCTGCTGTTGCCGGTTCTGCTGCTGCTGTTGGTCATAGTGCAGAAGCTGCAACAGCAGCCGTACCGTTGCTGCTGCGCATGCATCTGCTTGCTGCTGTGCTGCAGTGTCTCCTTCAAGAGGCAGCAGCACAAGAGGGAGTCTCCCCACCACCACGTACCTCTGGGGAGCAGCAGCAGCAGCTGCTGCTGCTGCTGCTGCAGCAGCAGGTAGACCAAACGATGCATGCAAGGAAGGAGACAGCGCGCTGCAGCGCCAACCAAAGCAGCGGCGGGTGTCTCCTTCGAACAGCAGCATGGGGGGAGGCTTGCGCTGCTGCTGCTGCTGCTGCTGCTGCTGCTTTAGCAGCAGCTGCTGCCGACGCTTCTCTTGCTGCCATAGCAACAGATCCTGATTCTGTTGCAGTTGCTGCTGCTGCTGCTGCTGCTGCTGACGCAGCAGCTGCTGACGACGGTGCTGCTGCAGCTGCTCGTTGTGCTGCACTACTAAGAGATTCCTATAGTGTATAGATAATGCATGCAGCATGCACACATGCAGGGCGCAACTTGCTGCTGCTGCTGCTGCTGCTGCTTTTTTTGCTGCTGCTTCACCTGCTCCTCCTGATGCTCCTGCTGTACTTGCTGCTTCTGCTGCTGCTGCTCCTGCTGCTGCTCCTCCTGCTGCTGGTGCGTCAGTTGGGGCTGGTGGGGCCTCTGTTTGCCCCTCTGCTGCTCCTTGGCCTGTTGGTGCATCTGCTGCTGCTGCATCTGCTGCTGTTGTTGCTGCTGCTGCATCTGCTGCTGCTGTTGGTGAGGAATCTGCAGCAGCAGGAGGAGGAAGGACAGCAGCAGCAGCAAGAAGTCTTCTTGCATCATCATCATTAGCTAAGGAAAAAGGATCGAAGCTAAAGGCAATACGTCTTGCCTGCTGCCTACACAGCTGCTGCTGCTGCTGCTGCTGCTCTTGCTGCTGCTGCTGCTGCTGCTGTTGCTGCTGTTGTTCACGATGACGTCCATCGACTTCCATTGACTGCTGCCTCTCCTGCTGCTGCTGCTGCTGCTCCTGCTCCTGCTGCAGCAGCTGCTGCTGCTGATCAAACTCATCCCTGCAGCGCTGCTTCTGCTTCTGTCTGTTCCTAAAGGATCTCCATGCTGCAGCAATCTTTTGCTGCGCTTGCTGCTGCTGCCGCAGCAGCAGCCGCTGCTGCCGCTGCAGTCTTGTCTGCTGCAGGAAGGCGTCCCTCCCTATTGCTGTGCTGCAGCGGCCGCCTCCTGATAGATTTACATTTCGTGTCTGTATACCCCAGTCGTACATCCTCGTTTGCTGCTGCTGCTGCTGCAGCTGCTGCTGCTGCTGCTGCTGCTGTTGCTGCTGCTGCTGCTGCTGCTGCTGTTGCTGCTGCTGCTGACCAAATAAAACTGCTTAATGATGTGCTGCTGTTACAAACTGAAGAAAGTAATCTGATGGTACAGTTGCTGTGTCTAGTGCTGCTGCCGTGCTGCTGCTGCTGCTGCTGCAGCTGCTGCTGCTGCTGCTGCAGCTCTTAACACGCCGTCGGCTGGTTTGCTGCTGTAGTTGAGGCTGCTGCTGTTGTTGCTGCTGCTGCTGCTATGTGTTGCTGCTGCTGCTGCAGCAGAATCTTCTTCTTTAGATCTAAACACTTTCCTTATTCCCCGTTATATGAGGAAAGGAATTTCGCCAATACACTAAGGCCTTAGCTTCCTGCTGCTGCTGCTGCTGCTGCAGCTGCTGCAGCTGCTGCTGCCACCGTAACTGCTGGTGCTGCTGCTGCAAGGGGGGGTTGCTGCTGCTGCTGTTTATACTAAGAGAGCAGCAGCAACTTCTTAATAAGAAATAAATAAATTATTTTCTTTATTTATTCTATTTAATCTGTATACGTATGACAATATATTCCTCTAACTGCAGCAGCAGCAGCAACAGCAGCAGCAGCAGCAACAGCAGCAGCAGCAGCAACAGCAGCACAAGCTGCTGCAGCTGGAGCAGCAGCACAAACAGCTGCAGCAAGGCCCCCTGCATATCTTCTTTTTAAGAGGACACACGAATTATTTTTTGCTGCATTTCTTGCTGCTGCTGCTGCTGCTGCATGCATTACAGCAGCAGCAATTTCCTTAGAGTCTACAAGCTGCAGCAGTATAACAGCAACAGCAGCAGCAGCAGGTCTGGCTTGAAGAGAGGTCTAGTTGCTGCTGCTGCTGCTGCTGTTCTTATTCTTGCTGAGGACGAGGTGTACAGACAGCCAAGAGTCAACGACACTCATATCTCCTACTAGCAGGTTATACTAAATCAGCAGCAGCAGCAGCAGCAGTGCAGCAGCAACTGTAGCAACAGCAGCAGCAACAGCAGCAGCATCAGAAGCAACAGGAGTAACAGCAGCAACAGAAGCAGCAACAGCAGCAGCAACAGCAGCAGCGTCCCAAGCAGGCATACGCCTCATAGCATCAGCAGCGCATACATAATCAGCTTCTGCTGGCAGCAGCAACTGCAGCAGTACCAACAGCAGCAGCAGCAGCAGCAGCAGCAGCAAGAGTAGCATTGTCTAACGATTTATGTGTGCCTTAGTATCAATACATGAAAATGAGTGGCAGCAACAGCAACAGCAGCAGCAGCAGCGACAGCAGCAACAGCAACAGCAACAGCAGCAGCAGCAGCAGCAACAGCAGCAGCAGCAGCAGCAGCAGCAGCAGCAAGGAGATACATGGTACTCCTTGTGGTGATTGTTTAGTTTGTTATGATGAATTAACAACAGATAATTATTGTGAATATACACTACAAGAAATAAACAAAAAAAGAGACAAAAAAGGAGACAAAAAAGGAGACAAAAAAGAAGGAGACAACAAGGAAGGAGACAAAGGAGACAAAGGAGACACAGGAGACACAGGAGACACAGGAGACAGGAAGGAAGGAGACAATAATAATAATAGATGGTATCCTTGTCTCTTTTGTTATTCTTGTGTACAACAACTACAACAATCACAGGTAAATACTTATTTGCTGCTGCTGCTGCTGCTGCTGCTGCTGCTGCTGCTTGTGCTGCTGCTGCTGCTTATGTCTCTGCTGTGGCAATTTCTGCTGCTGTTGTGATTGCTGTTGCTGTTGCTGCTGTTGCTGCTGTTGCTGTGCTGCTGCTGCGCCTTACATTGTTATATAATCTACACTCTATCTTCTGCATCTGCTGCTGTTGCTGCTGTTGCTGTTGCTGCTGCTGCTGCTGCTGCTGCTGCTGCTGCTGCTGCTGCTGCTGCAGTTTAAGCGTTACTGTGACGGTGTCTCCAATTCTACATGCGCAAAAGAGCAACGAGCTTTGCTGCTGCGGGGGCCCCCCGTCAATCTATATGACGTGCATGCATTCCCTGCTGCAGCAGGAGAGGAGATAGGGGCCCTATGGATATACAAAACTAATACTATTGTATCTGCTAAATTACAAGGAAGTCTTGTAAGCAGCAGCAGCAGCAGCAGCAGCAGCAGCAGCAGCAGCAGCAGAAGCAAGAGCAGCAGCAGCAGTAGCAGCAAGAGCAGAAGAATGCATATATACACAACATAATCCCTTTTTTTTTATCCCTTTCTTACACATTAAAACACCAATCTAGGGTTTAGGGTTTAGGGTTTAGGGTTTAGGGTTTAGGGTTTGTGTGTCAGACTGGTGAGGCAAGGGAGAAGTTATGGAGGGAATTAAAGGCATTTCTTATTGAGGGAGAACCAACAGAAGACCGCAATACAACATCTAGCTAGCTACCGAGCTAGCTAGCTAGCTACCTAGCTAGCTAGCTAGCTACCTAGCTAGCTAGCTACCTAGCTAGCTAGCTACCTAGCTGGCTAGCTAATTGCCCAACTAGCTAGCTACCTAGCTAGCTAGGTAGCTAATTGGCTACCTACCTTCCTAGCTAGCTAGCTAGCCATGTAGCTAGCTAGCTACATAGGAACAATTGGTGGGCTACATACCTTGTTTGCTATCTATCCAGCTAGCTGTCCAGCTAGCTAACTAGCTAGCTAGCTAGCTGTCTAGGCAGATAGCTACCTGTAGACCTAGCTAGCTAGCTAGCTGGCTAGCTAGCTAGCTGGCTAGCTAGCTAGCTAGCTAGCTGCCCTGCGAGCAGTATAGCGATTGGAGGAGACTCTGGCGGGATTGTTTGCTGCCTTCAGCTCTTGACCACAAACAGCAACTGTGTCTCTCCCTAGCTAGCTAGCTAGCTAGCTAGCTAGGTAGATGGCTAGCTAGCTAGCTAGGTAGATAGCTAGCTAGCTAAATGGCTAGCTAGCTGGCTAGCTATTTAGGGATATAGATAGGTAA